ACCTAATTAAAGCTTTATGTCGACACAAATACATTAATAAATATATGAATTGAACATTGAGCGGATTATAATTGATCTCAATAAATCTCGTTTTGTTAAATTAACCGAAACGGCGGATTTGGACTTTTGGAAAGATCATAAATTTTAACTCTGGTATTCATGAAATCTAGCTGTGATTGAAATAAAACTTTTAGATTTTTCTAAATATCTACAATCAAAAGATTCTTGATTAGTTGGTAATTAATGATCTTTTTGTAGATACCAATAACGGTGTGTACTATCGCTGCGGGATCAACGTTTGGAGAGACAATTTTGCAAGATTTACCAAGAGAAGTTACCGTCGTCACGCAAACTACTTGTGAACTACTGAGAGTTGAGCAAACTGACTTTAAACTCATATGGGAGGTAAGTAATGACGATAATTTCTATTTTACGTTATCAACTTTATTATTTCGTTTTTAATATTGATAAGAAATAAAGTAAAAAATTTAAATTTCAAATTGTGACATACATTCAATCGGAAAATTACGTATTTTAAAATGTTAAACGTAAATATTAATGAACCGTTTTGGGACGACAAATTTAAACAAACCGTGGCACCGAAATCGACAACGCGAACATTTTTATCAACGAGGCCCACAATATACGTCGCCCGATTTATGAAAAATGAACATTTACAAAGCTTTTCAATGCACGTTTATTTTTTGTATTTTTCCGGGTGATTAATTTCCTTTGGATTTTTTAATTGAAATACTTTTTTCCATCAAAAAACAACGTTAAAAAGTAATAACTTCAAAAGTTTTGACTTGGAAGATTGACTTCAAACGGAGTCAAGATCGATTTTAACCGGTATGACCCCGTTCGTTCCTTATCTCTATCAAACTGGAGAGTTTTCCGTAACAACCCCTTAGGCTTTTCGTAGCTAAACTAAATTCGCAAATCAATTATACGACGGTTTAAAATTTAAGTCCACTTAAATCTAAAGGTAAATGTAACATTATATCATTTTATTTTTAAAATATGATGGTTTTATTTATACAGGATGTCCCGCAACGATTGTACAAAACTGCATCAGCGTATTCTATGATCAAAAATAAACAAAAAAAGCCTAATAAACATAGGTCCGAAAATGGACCATTTTCGAGATATTCAAAAATTTAGTTTCATAAGTTGATATTGTTAACATCATGAATTTAAATTTGTTTTTATAATAATTAAGTCGTTACTATGATTACGATAAGTTGTCTAATCAAAAAAAAATAATAATACTTCACGAAATTATTATTTTACTATTTAATTTAATAAAACTATTAAGTATGGCTCCTATTAATTACTCCAAGGAAGAGATGGCGGATATGGTGTATTGTTACGGACTAGCTGATGGAAATGCGTCGTTAGCAGCTCGTCATTACGCGCAAAGGTTCCCCAACAGACGATTGCCTAATAGTCACACCTTTAGCAGACTATGCGCCGGTTGTACAATATAGCGATAAACTTCCCGACAGCGTTATCTGGCAGATAAGTTAGTTTGTACTGTATTACAATGTACGATGTGAGATTATCGGCAGGATAACTTATCGGGTACTCAGCGGTGCCGATAAGACACTTATCCGGCAGATATTTATGGTTACCAAGGTTTTTATATAAAAACTTTGTATGATTACTGCATAGGTTAACCTCTAACATTAAACGTTAACCTTATATGTACGATGTGTCAGTGAAAATTTTTTTAAACAATTTATATTGTCAAAATCATAATTCAAACTTCAAAGAAAGACGTTGACGTTACCATTCTACGGCATAAATCACTAGATATGGGGAAAAACTACTACCAACCGACTCTTGTTTCGCCGATAGCAATGCTACCGACAAAAACAGTTTGTACAACAGCGAATATCTTTATCCTCCTGATAAGTTTATCGGGCGGATAGATATCAGGTAGATTTATCGGTATATTGTACAACCGGCCCTATTTCTCAGATTAAAAGAAACGGGAAGCGTAACCCACAGCCATTCCACGGAGAGACATTACACAAGGCCGGTGGAATTAGAAGAAGCAGTTTTGAGAAGAGTCGATGAAAATGCCTCAACCAGCATTAGAAGAATTTCTGCACAAGAAAACATTAACAAAACAACCGTTCACCGCATTTTAAGGGAGCAGTTGCTTTATCCTTATCATTACAACACCGTTCAAGCTCTAACAGAAAATGATGGCGAAAAAAGAGAGATTTTTTGTAGGTGGGCCATACAGGAAGAGGTAGTAAACGTCGACTTTCCCATAAACATTGTATTTACGGATGAAGCAACATTTACTCAAAGCGGAATTTTTAATATTCATAATGCGCACGTTTGGAGCGATGAAAATCCCCATGCAATACTAGAAACTCATCATCAGTGGCGATTCAGTGTTAATGTATGGGCTGGAGTTATAGGTGATCAGTTATTAGGTCCATTTTTTCTTCCAAAGAGATTGACAGCCGATGCCTACATACATTTTTTACAAAATGACCTTACAGAGGCATTTGATGAATTACCTCAACAAATTCTAGAAGATTGCTACTTTATGCACGATGGAGCACCAGCACATTATGCACGCGCTACTCGAGCATACTTAAATAACAGATTTGGCAATAAGTGGATTGGCCGAGGAGGGCCACCTCGTTCACCAGATTTAAATCCGTTAGATTTTTGGTTTTGGGGACATTTAAAACAAATTGTTTATTCTGAAGACGTTCAAAATGTGCAGGATTTGAAGAATAAAATTAGTAACGCATTTGACACAGTAAAACAAATTCCTGGTATCTTTGAACGCATTAGAAGTTCATTTAGAAAACGTATCCGTTTGTGTTTAGAAGTAAATGGTGCGCATATTGAACATTTATTATGACATGAATCTTTTCCAATTTGTTAAATATTCGTTGTTTTTATGCTGGTTGAACGACAATCTTTGTTACTTGTTTTGTTAAATTATTAATGAACTGTATTAATTAACTTAATATTATCTTATTATTTATTAAACTTTATCTTAACCATCGTAACCATGGTAATCATATAATTACTGCATCCAAATCGTTAGAATTAATGATATTTACAATAGGTCAGCTTATGAAAGTAAAACTTTGAATATCTCGAAATTGGTCCATTTTCGGACCTATGTTTATTAGACTTTTTTTGTCTGTTTTCGATCAGAGAATACGCTGATGCAGTATTGTACAATCGTTGCGGGACACCCTGTATACAGGGTGATTCACATAAGAACCGACACAGAGCAGGGACATGTAGAGGAGAATAAATTAAGATGATTTAAAGTAACTTACCTCTATACTAAGTTGTACACCTGAGGAGTTATAGGACTTCAAAGTTGGCTCTTAAATTATTAGACACACATTATTAGACAAATAGGTTATAAAATTATTTGACAACAAGGTTTTATAACCTATTTGTCAAGTTTGACGTACAATTTCACAGCCGACTACTGAATTTTCGATGATTTTAAGTAGCATTAACGAAATACGTGTCTTTGGTTATTTGAGTTTGCTATGAAAACGACAATGTTTTTTAAAAAATAATAAGAGTAAAAAAAGTTTTAGAATTAAATTCTACATGAAATGAGGCAATAATGTGTTAAATCCACCAAAAGGTTAAAAAAATCTGTTAAAATTTAGGAGACCACCACCCTTAATGAACCCTTTGAAATGCCATAATTGGTCTCAATTTGCTATCAATTAATACCTTCAGTACACTCATAACGTATACCAAATTTGGTTTTTCTAGCTGAATGTATTACGAAGATATTCAATGATTTAAAAATTTAAGACCCAACTTTGAAGGCCTATAACTAATCAGGGGTACAACTTAGTATAGAGATAAATTGCGTTAAATCATCTTAATTTATTGTCTTCTACATGTTCCTGCTCTGTGTCGGTTCTTATGTGAATCACCCTGTATATTACAATTATGTTAAAAAAGTAAACTTAAAATTTGGTAAATATCGCTTAAATACGCATGCGTGATTTCATATCGACTGGAAATCGTTCCAAATTGGATGTTGATGGTCATTTTTAGATACAATTACCGCTGGGTTATCCAAAAACTGAAACAACTTTATTTAGTTTTACAAATTAAGTGCTTGACTTTAAAGTGGCTTTTCAATATGGACTTTTTCATTGCAAAGTAGGTGCTTAATTCATAATTAATGAAAATTTAATAAAGACTTTTTTAATGAATGAGTGCTTTAAGTCTTATGAAACGTGTTTTTTATGCTATTTTTTGTAATTCGCGTTTTTATCCTTTTTTTTAAACAAAAATAAAATAAATTTTGACAATGTGGGGAAATAGGTATGTAGCAGTTGGTAACAACGTAACACTTGAAAATAAAAATTTGAATGACAAATAGAAACTGTCAAAACACAAAACGTATTCACCTGATAAAAATGTTTCATGTACAACTCCCAAAATAAGAGAAATTGCTCAGTGTTCAATGTCCTCATCATTGTGGACCTTGTAATCGATGCTAAGAACGTGTTTTAAACATCCATAGACAAAAATTGTCACATTGACAACTAGAAAAATTAATGACCCAATGTCACCAACTTGAACTGATTCCATAAAATGTTACTAAAATCTCATTACAGCATCGGATGTTGTAAAGAGTGTCATTACAGCACCCGTTTGAGTACTGTAATAGCTTTCATTACCGTCGCGAATTACAAAAAAAATATTTCAATTTAGTTCAAAAGTTTGTATCTCAAAAAGTAAGCGTCATTTTTGAAAAAGTAGATACTTTAATTGATAGTTGAACATTCATTATGATAATATCGTAATAAAGCTATCTTCTTGTCAAGTTTATCAAAAAAAAATTAAAATTTTTCGCTGTATTAAACTCAAACGTTATTTTTAATTATTCTTTTTTGTTTCAGAAAAATAAGGAATTAATGCACGAATTCATATTAAACAGCAAACACAAAAATGGTAAGAAATGTCGTAATACATACTCAGAAACAAATAGAACATAACTTAACTTACATGTAGCTACGTGACAATATATTTTTTTAAAGTTATCTGGGGAATTTTCCGGACAGAAACGTAGCAACAATATTCGTTCTACGAATAGCTCTTTGCATTTAGTTTCGAAAGTTGTAACGCGCATAACGCGGTGTCATTTTGTATCGTTGCCAAACCCGAAAACATTAGTATGACGCGGTTTAGTGGTCCTTTAACCTCTAATTAATGTGTTGGTACTATGTTCTCATCGATCCGTTATACTCTATCTGCGGCGTTTTAACGAAAAATTGCACCAGGAACGGTACGTTTTCATTAACTACGTTATCCAATAAACCTTTTTACTGGAACGAGAGATAGGTAACTTTTTACCTAACTCTCTTTCGCATTTATCGACCCGAAAGATAACGCAATATATGACCTATTAATTAAGCCTACGCGATACTTCGTTTCGTTTATTATTAACAATTTAATTTTTTTCCATTAAATTTAAATCAAATTGTTATAAAAGATGAGCAATTAGAAATGGGAAACTAGAATTGAATTTGTAACCTATTGATCAAGTGGAAATGTTTACTTTGAGCACCGTGCAAGTGAACCCGAACATTCCGGAAGAACTAATTAACCTATTTGCGTCCTCTAATTACCGGTTATTAATGCAATTAGAATTCGCTTAAAAATATCGCTTTGATGTTACGATTTATTTGTAATTATCAAACCTTATTTGGAATTTTTACCAATTGAAAATGAAATGCATAACTTTTAGAATAATAATTTTTATTAAGGAATAGGTGCGAGTGGTCGCGGATCGATGCAAGAAAAAGCAACACCACCTTCACGAAGATGTCAATCGCCGGATCAACCAAATCCCGCCACTCCGATAACAGAAAAACCGACCGCCGCAATCGGACGAATAGGTTGGGCGTTAAGAACATTACTTTTAAGTAAGTTTTATTATTTCACATCTCTTTAAAATCGCATTCAAAAAAGAGAATAGAAACTTTTCTTACGGTATTATGCCGTTTGTACAAATGCGGTTAACCATCACCGTTTTACGTTATCGATTCACTGCAGTGTAGATATTGTATGTGTAGAAATGTCCCGCAGTGTGTCCCCTGGAATCCTTTGACAAGTATCTGGATTTGCTATAAAGCTTTGTTTCATTATTTCTCTAAGAATGTTTTTCAACTATTTCTTTATATCGGAATGTTTCAAAAATATTCTACAATTAATGAGGGGGTTAGTGCAAAAAGGGTACAAATAGCTTTTTTGTATTGCTGAGTTATTTGATCCTAAAGTTACTTCAACTTTTAAAATTCAACAATAAAATATGAGTCTGTATAAACTGCCAGATGTATTGTTCATATTTTATTAGAGAAGAAAAGTTTGAACCACGATGCATGGCTACATGCTTTTTCAAAGGTTTTTGCACTTATACCCTTTTTGCGTAAAACAATTTTTCACCACAAAAAAAACTTTATTAAGTAAATACAAGAGAAAGTAACAAAGGTAATCGATAAACGTTGGTACATAAAATAGTAATATTACTCATAATCAGAATCTAGATAAGATGCAATATCAGAATCACTGTCATCGTTGGATATGGCAGTTGAGCTGGAAGGCACTTCTATATTTTTAGTTTTCTTTGGCGCCTCTCGTGATGTTTTCTTTGTTTTCTTCTTCATCTTTTTCAGTGGTTCTTCATGAGCCATGTTTTTATAAAATGGATGGTATATTGGAGGAATAAATTCCAGAAGGGTTTGTAGATTTTTCCATTTGTCAAACTTGATTTTATTAGCCTCTGTATGAAGCTGTGTAAATATGGAAAACGATGGACGTCCAGGAAAAGCCGAGGTGCATATACATTTCCTAAAGGGAAATGATATTTCTAGGGTGTCTTTAAACTCAAAAGAAAACGTTTCTTGTCGTTTGTCGTATCTGAAGTGGTTTATTTCTCGAAATTTAATAGGATGTCCAGAAGTATCTTTTTTTGGATCACGTATAGCTTTCAGCTGTTCAAAACTGTAGAATTTCTCTTGTGTCATTTTATGAACAGCGAATTTCGTTGATGACTTTTTAATAACTTCATGCCAGTGATCGGGAACAAATACTTGAGGATTCTTTCTCTTATTTTTTTCAATAAGGGCAAAGTCTCTATCGCACTCCATGTACGTGTGCCCTGATTCCAAAAATTTATGGTCGATTTCTTCAATATTAGTAGAGTTAACCAGAAACATTAGCAGCTTGCACACGTTTTTGTTCTTATTTTGTCCTCCGCAGGAGTCACTAAAAGCGATAACTTTGGTTATGTTTTGGGGCAGTGATTTGAAATATTCAAGAAGACATGATCCGATCTCCTGGGAACCCCTGGAGGCAACCGTTTCATCCCAAGTGTACATATCTGATTTTCCGGTGACTAAATTGTGTACACCAAAATTATATGTCCATAACTGCCGAAGATAAAATGTTTTTGAATTTGTAAGTAAAGGTGTNCCTAATTATTTCTCAAACTATTAATGTTAGGCATAGGACATATGGAATATAAAAGATGTAAAATGAGACGCCGAAGACGACTAAGTAATAAAATATGGGGGGTGCCATTTAAAAAAATGAAGTTATGGTGCTTCCAAATTTCGAAAAGTTAACGTATCATAGTAAAGTGACCAAACGATCTAGACAGCCGTTCTCGGCACCAAAACATACTCCATCATGTTGTTTAAGCATGTTCTGAATCCTAAATTGATATCTCAAAAATTGAGTGTTCTATGATTTTTTGAACAAATGTCCGCTGGAGCAAATTTTTCTAGAAAAATTCGAATAACTCGAGAATTGCTGGTTCAAATTACAAAAAGTAAAGTTGTTTATAAACCTTCAAAACAGGCAAATCCAAATATGTAAAAATATACAGGTGTTCCATTTAAAAAAATAAAGTAGGTGGCGACTTCCGGTATAACCGGAAGTGTTAGAAATCTGAAAATATTTTAGATGAAGAGAACGTAATTGATAATACTTAAGTCTGCATTTTCAAATTTTTTGTTTGGCCAGAACCCCAGAAACGTCTAATGACCGGTCTCGCTGAGACACCCTGTATACGGGACGATTTTACCCCCTCGGGGTATAAACCCGACCTCGGCTAAGACTTATTTTTGAAATAATAAATATTTTATTGAAGTATCTTTCTTTATTTTTTTAAGGTCAAAACACTTGTTTAAGAGATCGAAAACCGTCAGGAAGATTGGTTAGAAGATGTGCCCCAGGAAATGAACTGGTTGATTGGCTTTTAGAGCTGTCGAGTTGCGTCCATACGAGGGTTCAAGCGACGGGAATGTGGCAAGCTTTGTTAGAAGAAGGCGTTATAGCCCACGGTAAAAAAAGAAAACACTTTTCCAAAAAATCAAGTAAAAAAATTTTTTTAAACAGTTTCTAGGGAAAAACCGTTTAAAGATAAATGTTTCTTGTACCGTTTTTGGCAAGACGAAGACGGGTCATCGACTTGTTTACCAACATTAGATGACGTGGCAACTGCAGAGGATCACATTAGAGATTCTTTAGCTACTTTAATCAATCGGGGCCCAGATGCAATGTTAAGAATGATTTTGCGAAAACCGTACGTTTGTAAATTTGGTTGCATAACTTCATTAATTTAAATTTAAACTATTAATTAATTTTATTGTTTTTAGAAGTCACGAAAGAACAAGTGACGATTTAGAAACGATTTACGACGAATTATTGCACGTTCGAGCTTTAGCACATTTAACAAATTCAGTTAAAAAAGAATTAGCTGGAGTTATTATGTTTGAAAGTCATCCTAGACCAAGCACAGTTCGTAAGTTTAAATCAAATTTTTTTAAATTTTAATTAACTTTGGTTGTTATTAGTTTTCCATCAAGGCGATGAAGGAAAATCGTGGTTTATTATCTTAAGAGGTTCAGTCGACGTCGTTATACACGGAAAAGGAACTGTAACGACTTTACATGAAGGCGACGATTTCGGAAAATTAGCTTTAATAAACGACGCTCCAAGGTAACTAAAACAACTTTAAATGTTATTATTGTTATTAATTTATTAAATATACGATTTTTATTTCATAGGGCGGCAACAATCGTTCTTCGCGAACATAATTGTCACTTTTTGCGTGTCGACAAAGAAGATTTCAATCGAATTTTAAGAGACGTCGAAGCAAACACCGTTCGCTTAAAAGAACACGGAAGAGACGTTTTGATTTTAGAAAAAATCTCTTCTCAATCGAAATTGGCTCATTTCAAGTAAATATTAAATATATTTTTTTTCAAGTTTTATCTATCAAATTTGACATTTCAAATAATTAACTGTCAGTTTGACGTTTAATCTTCCAATATCACACTTACACAGAGACGCCTTAAGACGAAAGTTTCTAGACATTTCATAAACATTAATATTTATTAGAATTGTTATTATTAGTGCCTATTAACAATATCGAATTTTTGTATTCATTTAAATATTATCATTTGAGCTATCCAACAAAAGATGGCGTTACTGTGAAATTAAAAATATGGCGCGTGTATTTAAACTTCTTTTTTAAATTAATTTTATTATTTAGATATACTGTAATGGCTGGAACTCCGCAAAAAATGTTAGAACATCTTTTAGAAACACGATTAGATGGAAAATCGGTAAATTATACGACGAACGATTTTATATCGACAACGCAAGATCCATTTATGGACGATTTTTTATTAACTCACATCATTTTTTTGCCGACTCACCGTTTAATCGATGAGTTAGAACGTTATTATCGGATGGAGTCTTCGACGCAAGATCGCGATTTTATGTTATCATGTAAACGACGTGTCGTCCAATTCATTTATAAGTGGATATCGACGATACGACATCCGGTTTTCGAAGATGAATCGGTTACCGAGTTTTTAGAGGATCTCGCCAAAGACTTGGAATCGGATTTTTTGCATAATTCGGCGTTACAATCGGAAGCGTCTTTAATGCACCATGTTATGACTCAATTAAAGCGGTATAAAGATGAGCGGAAGTTACGAGAGGGGCAGAAATGGAAACTTCCTACTAATGGGCAACCAGTTAGTTTATTTACGGGTTGTGACCCAGGAAATAATCGAACTGTTATTATGCCGCAAGATGATAGTATGTTGAATCATTTTTAAGTTATTTTGAGGTATTTAATTTAACTCTTTTTTCATAGTAATTTTTAGGGTGTATTGTGCAGATCATACTTATTGTACTTTAAGATTACCAGTTGATGCATCTGCTGAGACCATAAAACTATTCGCGGCGGATAAATTACAAATGAGGCCGTGCGAAGAACTTTTATTGGTTGAGGTTAAATCAACCGGAGAAAGGGTAGTTTTTAAAGATAACGATATCAGTATTCCAACAGCTATTAGTATTAACAGTCGAATTTTTGTTACACCAAAAGATCATTTAGATGCTTTGGTAAGAATCAATATCAATTTTTTTGATATTGACTCAATCTTTTTTACTTTAGACTTGTATACCAGAACAAGAAGAAGCAACCCAAGGTGTTGATGGCGACTTGGAACTGTTTAGTACAAAAGAATTGGCTTATTATATGACTTTATTCGATTGGGATCTTTTTTGGTGATTATTTAAAATTAAAAAATTATATTTTTAGTTGTTTTGATTTTTAGGTGCGTTCATGAATACGAGTTATTATATCACACGTTTGGAAGGCATCATTTTGCGCAAATAACGGCAAATCTCGACGTTCTTATTCGGCGATTCAACGAAATCCAATTTTGGGTTGTCACAGAGTTGTGTTTAACGTCCAATTTAAATAAACGTGTTGCTGTTTTAAGAAAATTTATCAAATTAGCTGCATAGTAAGACAAATTTATCATAGTTTTTAAATATCTGATATTTAATAGTGGTGGAACGGATAGTTAGTAAATATTCTACCATTTACAGGAATTAGTATCTCTTTTAGGTGTCGGACACTGCAGATAATAATCAAGTACTCATCATTGAGTACAACTTTATTTATATCAGGTTTATCTTTAGCAACCTCATTGTAATAATCCCAATACGATACATAAAATCTCTTGTTGCAGTTTCGTCTAGTTTCCTTCTCTTCGCTTGTAATTCATCATCACATTCATTACTAACAGAATTGTCGCTGTTATCACTTTCGATTATTATTTAAAGTATCCTCATTTTAATGCAACAAGCCGTTTTGGTAAATCGCTTTTAGTTCTTGAGAAATAAATTTTTGAAATGATCGACAATTTTTTCGAATTTTGCAGTTTTCGCCGATTAAGTTTTAAAAATTAGTATAAAATCCATTTCTTGGAATATGAGTATGAAAATTTCCCAAAGTGTTAATAAAAGTGTCCTCTTTCCAATGAACCAACCCGTTTTGAAAAATAACTTTTAGTTTTTGAGAAAACAATATTTGAAGTTTTGATAAAATTTTCGATGTTGCAATTTTCATCGATAATTTTCAAAATTCGCTATAAAATTAATTTCTTGAAGGATCTTTGTGGAAATATTACCAATTATGAATTAAAGTATCCTCTTTTTAATGCAACAAGCCGTTTTCAATAATCGCTTTTAGTTTTTGAGAAATAAATTTTTGAAATGATCGCCAATTTTTCCAAATTTTCGCCGATAAAGTTTTAAAAATTCGTATAAAATCCACTTCTTGGAATATGAGTATGAAAATTTCCCAAAGCATTAATAAAAGTGTCCTCTTTCCAATGAACCAAGCCGTTTTGACAAATAACTTTTAGTTTTTGAGAAAACAATATTTGAAGTTTTGATAAAATTTTCGATGTTGCAATTTTCATCGATAATTTTCAAAATTCGCTATAAAATTAATTTCTTGAAGGATCTTTGTGGAAATATTACCAATTATTAATTAAAGTATCCTCTTTTTAATGCAACAAGCCGTTTTGAATAATCGCTTTTAGTTTTTGAGAAATAAATTTTTGAAATGATCACTATCCGTTCCATCACTAATATTTAAAATATTCTAATTATTTGTCATAATCTGATATTTCAACAAAAGTACAAAAATCATCATTGCACACGCTATGTAACACAACGTACTTGCCTTTATCCAATGATTTTAATCTCATAGGAGCCACTGTATTTCTAGCTCTATCTCTTTACCTTTTTGGCTGATTCTTGTCCAATTAGCATCACTGAGTACCAAAACTAGGTCTCCTAAAAAAAAGTTGATTCTGTTCTCTCTCAATAGTACTTCGGCGGGATTCTTTCTTTTGTTCTGGGAAACTTAACAAGGCTTTTCAATTTCTTGGATCACAACCAGGATCCTTGATTAATACTTGATTCGGTTATCTCGTACCCTCTTTATAAAAAATACCAATCTTGCAGCTTAAGAACTGTTACCTCGGCAGCGTAGCTGCCTCGTATTCTGAATAACACAGTAACCATAGTTACGAAACTACTATGCACTTGCGCTATCCCACATAAAATGCAACATAGCTTAATAGTACAGGCATTGGGTAAAGGAAGTTTTGCTTGGAAGAGTTTCCATCTTAAGAAACTCACGGCTAAACCGGGATGTTTCTGGTTCTAAGTCTTGTGTTAGTTCTACTAATAGTGGTAGTGTAAAACTAGAAGTAACACTAGACCTAGAAAATATCGGGTTTAGCCTTGCGTCTGAAAACGATTAGTTTAAACTATCTGTATTAATGTGTTTTTTTATTTTAGTTGTAGAGAATATCAAAATTTAAACGCATTTTGCGCAATAGTAATGGGTTTAAGTAACGTGGCAATATCACGTTTATCATTAACTTGGGATAAATTGCCATCGAAATTCCGTAAAATGTACAGCGATTTCGAGGCGGTTATCGACCCAAGTAGAAATCATCGCGCTTACCGAGTAAGTGTTGGAAAATTGCAACCGCCGGTGGTTCCATTTGTTCCACTCTTATTAAAAGATATGACGTTTACGCACGAAGGCAACAAAACTTCGATGGAAGGTTTGGTAAATTTCGAAAAAATGCACATGTTAGCACAAACGATGAGAACGTTGCGGTTTTGCAGAAGTAGACATCTAGGTTGGTATTAAAATGCATTTATTAAAATCTTTAATACGAGTATTTTTTTTGTTGCAGTTTTAGAACCGCCCTCACCAAAAAGTGAAGGTGAAATAAAATCGTACATTTCGTGTTTACGGGTAATAGACAATCAAAGAATCCTCACGAGCTTGTCGCAAAAATTGGAGCCGAGGAGGTCATAGTCAATACCGGTCACTTTTAGGCACAGTTTGGCCGAAACGTTTAATAAACTAACAGGACCAAGAAATTAGTAAGAAAATGATATAAACGAAAATTTAAAAAAGAAGAAAATCATTCTATTGTAGTTTTTAGCAACTACTATTAATTAAACAAATGAGATTCTTATGATACAATTATTATTTTTGTGTATGATGATCATTAATCGATTAAAAATGAAACTTTTTTTGCTAGACAATCGTAAAAAATGTATAAGTGATGCAAAGAAATTTGAAAAAAGATGGAAACGTAAATGTTAATGAAGAAAAAAGAACACTATGACCAGTAACTATGCACCAATTTTTTATGTTATTCTCAATAAGATTATTAAAAAAAATAAATAAATAATGTATACATTAAATTTATAGATTTAGGATCTACCCTTAAATTATGCTTCATTTTTTAAATTTGAAGGACGTTATCGTTTTAAATATAACCTCAAATACAATTTCCTTGATTAACTGAAAATCCCTTGAAATTTTTCCAGTTTAAGAAATGAACATAATAAAAAAAGAAACCAAAGATAACCTTGTATATTCTGTGTATACATCAACACTTTTTTGCTCTATACATAACTATTTATGAAATTTTAAGGAAAAAATATTACAACAAAACACTTTTCCTAGTGGATAATCAAAAAGACCATCTCACAAGGTCGTATCTTATCTAACTCCTTTTAGATAACAAATTCTTTATTCTATTTAATGTTATACTATTTTAGATTAAGTGAAAATCATCAAATGAAGTAATAAACTAAGCAATAATAGAGTAATTTTCATTTTTTTTTATCTAAATGTTATCCTAGACCATTTCCATTTCCAATTTCCATCAGGAATCAGATTTGTAAGATGAATAACAATCCCAAGATTGTAATTGTGGTTCCTTCTTGAAATTTTTTCCTCTCATTGAAATCTCAATGTAGTCTTACAGAATTCTGCAAGATACTGGCGAGACGATAGTAACAAACCACCCAGTAAGAAACTTTTCTCCTTATGTTTCCACCTATTATCTTCGTTATCTAGAAAGAGAGCAAGAAAACTAAGAACACGGTTGGAAAGCTCAGTCTTTTCTCTATCTTTAACCACAGAAAAACTTCTCCCAATAATAATATCCCTATATATAGCTAGCTACAGCTTTAGCTATATACCCACTCTATGGAGGAAAGTAAAGGTGGTCTTCATACCTAAAGGTGGTAGGCGTTCAAACGCGGACCCCAAGGTGTACAGACCAATTAGCCAAACTTCATTTCTCCTCAAAGGGATGGAAAAGGTAATCGATCAATACCTAAGGAATGGAGTGCTTCTCACAAATCCACTCCACCCTAGCCAACATGCTTACCAGAAAGCAAAATCAACAATTACCGCTCTCCATGCTTTGACTAGCACCTTAGAGGAGGCAATTGCAACCAAAGAGATAGCCCTTTGTGCTTTCATAGATATATAGGGTGCGTTTGATAACACCTCATATGAATCCATAGAGCAGGCTTTAAACGTAAAAGACATACATCCGTCGACAATCAAGTGGTGTATAGCCATGTTGAAAAGTCGGCAGATCACAGCCAGTCTGGGAGGCGAGTCGCTAACTATAAAGGCGCTAAGAGGGTGTCCCCAAGGGGGAGTGCTATCACCTCTATTATGGTGCCTGGTAGTTAGATACAAGGGTATGCTGATGACCTGGTAATCACAATCCGAGGTAAATATGATTCAATCATAACTCAGCTAATGCAGAAAGCCCTACTACTCACCAGTACTTGGTGCAGAAGCAATGGGCTCAGCATCAATCCCAATAAAATCGAAATAGTCCCTTTCACTCGGAGAAGGAAGCTACAAATAAAAGCACCCTCCATTGAAAGCAGAACTATTAACCTCAAAACAGAAACTAAATACCTAGGGGTAATACTTGACAGTAAACTAAACTGGAACTCACACTTAGATAAGGTGAGGAAAAAGGCCATCATGGCAAACCAGATCTGCCGCAGGCTCCTAGGAAGGAACTGGGGTCTCAAACCACGAATGGCTTGTATAATCAGACCCATGGTCGCCTACGCCTCATTGGTTTGGTGGCCAAAAACAAAACATAAGACAGCTCAACAACAGCTGGCACAAATCCAGCGGTTAGCATGTCTTAACATAACGGGTGCAATGAGATCCTGTCCGACGGCTGCTTTGGAAGCCCTACTCGGTCTCACACCGCTCCACATATATATACAAAAGGAGGCAGCCTTAAGTGCCTTATCACTGAAAACAGTTTCTTCACTCAAGTTGACGCAGGGTGACCTCAGAGGACACCTCGAGATCCTCAAAGACCCATGTCTAAATCACCTGATTGAAATTAAAACGGACCTTATACCGACGGAATACAATTTCAACCAACCGTATAAGGTCATATTTAGTAGTTGGGCCTCAACTAAAAAGAGGAGCCCTAGCCTGGTACACCGATGCTTCAAAGACAGTAAGATCTGGAGTAGGCATGGGCATCAGTGGACCAAATAGCCACATTAAATTGCCCCTCAGCTCGGACTTAACAATTTTCCAAGCAGAAGTTCTTGCTATAAACTTCTGCACCGCTTTGAACCTACAGAAGGGACAAAAAGGTGCATCCATAAACATTTTCACAGACAGTCGGGCCGCCTTAAAGGCAATTCAGGCCTACACGTGTGGCTCCGCACTGATCAGAGAGTGCACCAACAACCTGAGAGAACTCGCTAAGGGCGATGATGTTACCCTATGGTGGGTTCCAGGTCACAGCAACATTGAGGGCAATGAGAAGGCCGACAAGCTGGCCAAAGAGGCAGCAAACACGCCCTTCATTGGACCCCAACCTGGATGTGGACTACAAAAAATCCACCTAAAACAAATAATCAACAACTGGGAGGCTTCAAAGATAGCCTTACCCTGGAAAGAACTTCCAGGTCACAGACAAGCGAAGAGTATGATAACTCCGTCGCAAAACAAAACCAAAGAGGTTTTATGCCTCAGCAAAGGGGATCTAAGAACGCTCTCAAGCTACCTAACCGGCCATGTGCCCCTAAAATACCACCTCTTCCACATTGGACAAGCTGAGGATCAAACTTGTCGACTATGCAACGACGAGTCAGAAACTGCTGAACATATACTGTGCAATTGTGTCGCCAGAGGACGTCTAAGGCACAACGTCTTCGATAAAACTCCCCTGTTACCTACCGACATAAAGGTTCAAGACCTCAGGACAATACTAAGGTTCATTAAGGACCTACATTTGCCCTAAACCTTTGGAGGGCTAAAGTTACAATAGATCTTATAGGTCGCGATAATGAGAGGGGCCGCCCTCCTCAGCCCGGCAGCAATAATAATAATAATAATAATCTTTAACCACAAGGTTGGTTAAAGATAAAAACTACCACATGTCACAACAAAAAATTAGAAAAACCTACAATAACAATAAATTACAACACAAAAATATATTAGGACAAGGCCCCACAACAGTTAAAGTCAACAACTCCAATCGAGCTGGTGTCTCTACTAATGGAACTTTCATAATTAAGAAAATAAATTAAAATCGAAATAATAACTTTAGATAATCTTAACAATTTTAACTTCGCCCCCAGATGCACTAATCTCGCCAGTCTGCAAGATTACTATTTTTTTTGTAAGTAGCAATATTTCAGTAATTAAATAAAACATATTGCATTAAATAAATTTGATAATCTTTTGTTTGAATTTCAAATATATCTTTAATTATTATAAAAAATAATTTAATTACAAACCTAATGTGATGTGTTTTTGTGATGAATTAAGTAAATATAAAGTGATTATAATCTATATAATATTAATAATAAATCTATTATAAGTAAACATTTAATATTACCATAAATTTTCATTAAATCTTAATTATTCTTTTTTGTTACACTTTAAATGTTCGAACAACTCTTATAATGTATTGCCTACAGATTGGACACTCTGCCAGTTGTTTTCCACAATCAATACATGTTGCAATGTGACCACATTCTAATAATACACAATCCAAAGGAGCGTCCATACAAACTTTACAGCAATTTTCAAATGTATCACCATCTAAAAATATTTTTTCTATATTTAATGATTTAATAAATAAATTATATTAACTTACCATCCTTATTTTCTTTATCATTCTTCCATAAAGTAACAGCCAATTGTAATAAATCACTCTTTTCAACACAACCTTTATAATTAACACGATTTAATTGTAACAACTCCTTTAATTCTTTCACACTAAGATTATTTAATTCAATTTCTGATTCAAAATCAGAAAGTTTTGGGTATTTTTTTGTTGGTGGAGGAGTTGGTTCTTCCATAGGGGGGGCCTAAAAAATGTGTTTATTAATAAAAAATTATTATTTTTTTAAATATATTTACCGAGGGGTGCTGATTGTCCTGAGGGGAAGAATGTGCGGTAAAAACATTTTCTGGAATATTTTGTTCTTGTGGTGAAGATTGATTTTGAGTCAATAAATTTCTTGTTTGATTTATTGCAGCCTCCGCATTCGCTTTAATTTTAATTAATTATGATATTAATTTATAAAAAAATTTTTGTAACATACTTTTTATATTGCTTAAATAACATTGCGATCTTGCAGCTAAATTAGGTACCGATCCGCTTAAGTTCAAAAATTTAACTTTATGATTTTTTTTATATTGAACGGGAATGTGATATCGTATAAATAAATCCACCAAATCTCCCTTTTCGACCAAACCATGAGTAGGAACATGATGCTTATTTAAATAACTTTGTAAATCCCTCGATTTTAATTCCATTAAAGCGTCCCGAACTGAAGGTCTTTGTACCAATATAAAACAGACTTCACAAAAAAAACACCTTCAACAACAAAAAATATAAGGTTAAGTATTTTTCATTGTATACCAAACAATTTCTAACCCATCGAATTTCTTTAAACATTTCGAACAGAAACTTTCTTCGCATTCTGCACATTTTAACTTCCAATTTAAGAGATTAAAATCGCCCTTACACTTTCCACACGGCATTGTTGCAATATAGCATATAAAATTAACGAATTTTAAAATAAGTAGGTTTGGTATCTTATCATGTAAAAAAAGGGGCGTTTTTATTCACATTGTGTTGATTATTATAAAGTTTTTTTGATTTCGTTACTCATCATGATTATTAAACGTCACATTTGACAGTTCATCGACATTAAACTGGAAAACCCACAGAATACCAAACAAACTATACGGTTGTGCTGCCACCTATCATTAAATTTATTAACTAAATAGCCTAAATAGATTTAGTTTAGAGAATTTTAAGGCTTTAGACTATCAATATGCGTTATATGTCAGTATTAATTAAAAAAATATTAAAATATAAAGCGAAATATTAACGGCTATATAATGGGGTCATACACACTTATTAAATTTAGAGAAAATTTTTACGTCAAACGATATATGCAAGTATATGCATGAACACTAAGTAAAAGAAATATTTTGATCAATTTGATATTTTGCGTAATTTGAAGTGAAAAATAGCAAATATTCAAACGAAATAATTTCGCGGCTTTTCTGTGACGTAGGAAACGCACTGCCTAAAACAAGTTAATTTGTCCGTTAGATAGCGCTTGCGGTGTGACAGTGTCAAAACAAAACCATGGATGTAATAGAGTGTCTCTATTACATCCATGAACAAAACATAATAAACATAACCTACAAACACTCTATCTCTTTTCAATACAACCTAAATGACGTTCATCTCTTTCTCGCATTTGAGCGGGGAGCAGGGGACGCAAAAGTGAGAATCGTACGTCATCAACGCGGGAATTTTAAAAGCGCAAATGGGTATATAAATTTTCAATAATTTTTTTAACAATGACTTTGTTCGAAAATATTAAAAAAAAAAATAACGGTAACTATATTTTTATATAAACTTTCAGAAAATATAATAAAAAAAAAATCGTGTATGACCCCATTAACC